ACTTGGGGAAACAGGATGATTGGGATAAAGGAAGGTTGGATAGGGGAGCACGGAAGCACAATTCTTAGTTAAGGGAGCCACCTTAGGGTTGGCAAGAGACTTGAACCTAGACTTGAACCAAGGCGATGTCCCCAGTTAGTTCCTTGGGCAGATGAGGATAGGGAACCTGAAATGACCCTATCCTATAGCAATACTGACAAATATCTTGCATATCACCATAGAACCTTCATCTGGTGATGGATGGAGATAGAGACAGAGACCCACACTGGAGCACTGGACTGAGCTCCCAAGGTCCCAATGAGGAGCAGAAGGAGGGAGAACATGAGCAAGGAAGTCAGGACCACGAGGGGTGCACCCTCCCACTGAGACAGTGGGGCTGATCTATTGGGAGCTCACCAAGGCCAGCTGGACTGTGACTGAAAAAGAATGGCCAATTTTTGTTTGTCTTTTTAAGAGCACTCTTACTCTGTTGCCCAGGCTGTTTTTAGGTTCCAGTGCTCCCTCCACCTCACACTCACAGACTCACGGGTCCCCCACCTCCGACTCCAGAGAAGCAGGGAGTAGGCGCACCTACTGCTACCACAGCTGAAGTGGCTTTTCATGAGCTCTCGTTGTTTCTAAAATTCTCTTTCCACTTACATTAATTTATGTGTGTGGGCATATGAGTGCCTCAGCGTGTGGAGATCAGAGAAGAGCTTTGGGAGCTGGTTCTTGGCTTCCATCATGTGGATCCGAGGATTGACTCAGCAGCAACACCTTCACTAGCTGAGCCATCTGCTCGTCCCAACCAGTGGTGGTTGGTTATCTAGATGCAAACCACCATGCTCAGTGTGGGCTTCACTGCTGCTTTCTGCCCTGTACTGGCTGCTGTATTTTACTTGATGCTTATAGAACTTGCTCCTGCTTGGTCACCAGACAGCAATTAACTTAAAGCAGTACAGACCATGGAGTCGTAGAGAAAGGGACTATAATTTGATGGCAGTTAAAATAATCTTACGTTGTATCTATCTCTATTCTGTACCAAAATATTGAGACAAATTACTATTACAATAACTCAACCATAGAAAAGCAAATTATTTTTGTGTTCTTTTTATACAAATGTCTTTGTGTTTTTTATATAAATTCTTATCATTTAGTATATTTTATTAGAATCTTGTCTCCCACTTCATCCCTTTTTTATTTATTTATTTATTTATTTTTACTTCATCCCTTTTTTAAAGGGAACTTTATCGGTGCAGTCACCATTATTATCTTTGGTGTTTGGTTGGTTGGTTGGTTGGTTGAATGACTGTGCATTGTGCATTGTGGCTCTATTGTATTTGATTAATGATTGTGTACTGTAACACATTTATGACCTCCTCTGTTGTCTGCCATTCTAATACTCTTCTAAATATAATTTGTACGTATTTTGTGGATTTTTAAAAATTATTTTCTTTAAATTTTGACTCCTAAGGGGAAAAAAAGTGTGGGCTGGAGATGCAGCTCAGTTGCAGAGCACAGACTTGGCATGTGCAGAGCTACATGGGTTGAAGCCCCAGTTCAAAAAGACAAAAGGAAGAAAAGGCAACTGTTAAGTTAAAGTTTGTTTCTAAGAGCTGAGCTAATTCCCAGCAGCACCAGCTGTCCGTTAGTGGTAGGCTTTGAAGCCTGCCGCTATTTCCTGTGTTCCCTGTTCTATTGTGTTTCTTGCGCTCACAAAGCAGTGTGATTTTCTTTAGCTGTATCATGTTTGTACTCTTTTTTCCATCCACGTTCCTTAGTGCCTTTACAGTTCTGCTAAGTATGCTATATGATATCGCAGTTGGTTTTATCTGTAATTTCTCGTGAATTTCTTTCTCAGTATTTGGCTTTCATAAGCCTGTCTATCTTCCCTACTGTGCTTCTGTTTCTTATGAGTTCATAGATGGATAACCTTTCATTTAGATTTCTGTATTATCTTCTTACTTTAACTTGTTAGACTCTTGTTGTTCCATCTTGCTCTGTGTGTGTTGTTCAGGCTGGTCACAAACTCACTGTGTAGCCCAGGCTGGCCTTGAGTTCACATACCCCTGACTTAAGATCTGGAATCACAGGGACATTCTTCTATGCCTAGCTATGCCTAGCTTTACTTTTAAATTCTTAACTTGGTTACCTAAAGTTTAAATTGACTTGTAGCATAAACTGTGACTCAAGACAACTTCCTTCATGTTGTTAAGTGGTGTTTTAAATGCATTAACAGAATGACTTATGCCTACAATCCCAGAAATCTGAGGATTGCTGTAAATTTAGGTTAACCTGGGCTTTGCAGCAAGACAGCATCTCAAAAAAATTAAAGAGAGTATTCTGTTTTTTATTAATTGGTTTTCCTACTCCTGGTTACCACATTTTTTTTTAGTTATAAAAGTTATGATGCTATACTTCTCAGATTATATTATCTCATTGATCAGATTTGTTTTGTTTTGCAACATTTTAATTGCTAGTTTTTCCATAATCTGTTCTTGTATTTGTTGGTAAAGTAGCCATCATCTTTTGCTAAATATTTTGAATTAGTTGGGGGAATACAAATTATAAATGTAGCGTATGTGACCAATATCTATCTTATTCTTTCTCTTCTGTTTTTATTCAGGTACATTGGACACAACTACCTGGGAATATCCAGATGTCTGCAAACATTATTTTGGCTCCTTTGGGCAATGGTCAAGTCTCCTTTTTTCCTTAGTGTCTCTCATTGGAGCAATGATAGTTTATTGGGTACTTATGTCTAATTTTCTTTTTAATACTGGAAAGTTTATTTTCAGTAAGTATCGATATATTCTTTAACAAAGTTACCCTCAAATATCATTGTAATATTTTAGTTCTAGCCTTGCATTTTTATATGTAAAGTATATATAATCCCGGGTAATGCGCTTGATTCAGCTTTTCTATACTTAAGATGTCAAATATCATATGTATAAGCATTAATTTTTTTACATAAATAATGGATTTCATTCTGACATTTTCATAATGTATTTTTTATCATATTCCTTTCTTGTTATGTTTTCTTGTTCCCTTCTACTCTCTTTAGCACCCTTCCTCTTTCCACTAGTTCCCTTCTATTTTTATGTCTTTTTGTTTTTTGGTCACCCAGTGAGTTTCGTTAGGGTTGCTTTCACGAACATGGGTGAAAATTGGTTTACTGAAGCACATGCACTTGAGCAGTGTCTGCACCACTGACAGAGATGTCTCTCCCTCCCCATCAATGGTTAGCTGCATATATATATTGTTTGTTTTTGTTTTGTTTTTCTTTGCTTTGAATCAAGGTCCTTGAGTCTTTTATATACATTTTAGAATCAACTAACTTGTCAAATTCTAGAGCAATATAATTAGATTTTGAATGAAGTAGCATTGAATTTTTCAGTCAACATACCATAATTATTACTATTAGGCTATTGGCTTAGGATTAATAGGAATTGCATTAGATTTATTGTTGTGGAAAAAAACTGTGCCAGGATATTGAGCATTTCTATCCACGATCATAGCATAGTTTAAGTTTCTGTTTAATGTCTCTTAAATTTTTCTTGGTAAAAGTATTATCTACTTGTGAACACTTTTCTTGATACCTTAATTTGGTTTTGTAAATGTATTTTCAATTTAATATACAATACATACTTTTTGTTATTAAAAAATTTAAACATGTAGAAAATAAACAGAACAACATAAGGAATCCATGTTGGGTGGTGGTGGCACACACCTTAAATCCCAGCATTCAGGACGCAGAGACAAAGAGATCTCTGAGTTTGAGGCCAGCCTGGGCTACAGAGTGAGTTCCAAGAGAGCCAGGACTGTTACACAGAGATACCCTGTCTTGAAAAAACAGCAACAAAAAAACAAAACAAAAAAAACCCAACTAAGGAAACAGAATCTACATGTTCCTGTCACTTAGCCTTATCAGCTGTCAACATTGTACTGGTCTAGAATAGTCTGTACCAGGATTTTCTAACTCTCCCAGTTTAAGAAAAATTAATACTCCTTGGGAACACTTTTTAGTCATTTTATTCTAACTGTCCGTCCAATGAAGTTTTAATACCACAGAAATCCCTTTTACAAAGTGTTTATCTACCTGTACATGTTTTTAAAAAGTTTTTTTCTCCCCTCAGGAATGAACTTTTCTTCTTAGTAATATCACATTCATTGAGAAACCATGGGCTATGCTGTGTCCCTCACTGCTCTAATTCAAATATTGTTATAGCTATAATTTTTTTTGTATAAAGCATGACCCTGTCTCAAAACAAACAGACCGACCACACTGTTTACCCATCCTCATACTCACATGCATGCTGTGGCATTGACGGCACACGCCTTCATCTTTTGTACTTCCTTCCATCTAGCTCAGCAGTTCTTACGGGAGTGATGATTACTATACAGCCGTAGCTTTGTAAGAGTGTGTACTGTTCCTTATGAAAATGTTAGGTGATTTTCCAAATAGGCTTGGCCATGTACGGTTGTTGAGAACTTTACAGAAAATGTAGCTGTGCTGCTATAAATTAATTTAAGTATAGGGAAAATTTGTATCTATCTTCTTTGCAGACCTTTTAAGTATCATTGATTCGATCTTTCAAGTAGCTTCCTTTTTAAGCCCTGGATTTTGTAAATGCTTCCATATGGGCCTATGAAGTAAATAACATTACCATTCTAGTAGGCAAAGAAAACTAAAAATGAAACTGTGTAACTAAGAAATAGTCTGGGGTCAGTATACTCAACAATATTATATACAGTAAATAACCGTTTTTATGAACAGAAGACCTTAGGTGGTGATGGGACCTGACATGGTTCATTCCTTGTGTAACTGTCTTTGTCTTTTAGATTTCATTCACCACATTAATGACACTGACACTATACTGAGAACCAATGACAGCAACCCTGGTAAGTAGTGTGGAATTCAGTTTGTTTCCTTGTCCCCAATCCTCCTCCCAAAACGATTTGAAAATAGAATGCATAACTCCAAGTTAGGTAAATGGTTGGGGAAAAATTGTTCTTATATTCCTGGGTCGCTATACAATTATTGGTGGTAGGTTTCAAAATAGATTTATTTTGAAAATAAATGCTTGAGTGTGATTTGGCGGTAGTGCGTCTGCATGGCATGTGGGAAGCACTGGTTCGAGCCTTGGCACCATAAAGGAATAAGACTAAAAAGAGCATGGAAATGCGCCCGTGAGATGCTCAGAGGGTGACAGGCCAACAGCCTGAGCTTGGCCCCTGGACCCCAGGGCTGAAGGAGGAATTGCTCGACTATGGCCTGTAAATGCACAACAGACAAGTTACAAATAAACAAATGCTAAGAGAGAAGAAGAGGTGAAGACAGAGAGAGGACAATCTCTTTGTCCAGACTCCCGGTTCTCAGAGGTTAACAGACTCTTAGGCTGCCGGAAGTGGGGTAACTGAATCATTTTGGATTGTTAAACTCCAAATTCTTCAGTTTTTCACTGGTGATCGGGGATTTCTGCTTTTAATTCCCTAACACATAGATTTTTTTTCTTATTAAAAAAGAAAAAAAGGGGGTCAGTGAAATGGCTCAATAAGCAAATGCATTTTACCACCACACCTGATGACCTGAGTGCAGTCCCAAGACCTACATGGTAGAAGGAGCGAACGGACTCTGACATGTTGTCCTCTGACCTCTGCACATGTGCCGTGATGAACACACACACAAATAATAAAGCTAATCAAAGTTTTAAGAGAAAAAGCCTGTTATTTGGCCTTTGTATGGTCATTACTACCATACAAAGATATGATATGGTAGTGACTATACCTGCATGGTACGTCTCATATTACTGAGGTGACCATAAGCCCAATGTTTTCTGCCCAACAATCGGGCTAAGGAACATTTTATGGGACTTTATGGGATCTTTCTCTTGTTCCTAATACAAGGGTATGCTACCTCAAAAGTGTTTTTTTCTTATTCCCTTTCACTGTTTATATTCAGTTGGAAGATTCCTAAGGCTCCTCTATAACCCTTTCCAGAAGTTGGTGTAACAGCTGAGCAGGCGCAGCCCTGGGCACAGTGACTCTCTGGCCTGGGTCGTCCGATCTCTGACGTGGCATTTGTTTGCCTTTGCAGTGATTTGTCCAAGCGCTGGGAGCAGTGGCCATCCTGACAACAGCTCCATGGCTTTCTACAATGACACACAAGTCCAGCAGTTTGAGAAGTGGTGGAATAAGTCCAAGACAGTGCCGTTGTACCTCATAGGGCTCCTCCTGCCACTGCTCAATTTCAAGTCTCCTTCGTTTTTTTCCAAATTTAACATCCTAGGTAAGGTACTACTTTGTGGAACTTCAGCAGTGTGAGTGGGGAGAGCGTCGCCTCCCCAGCTGTTCAGATCTACTTAGTTTGTTCATTCATGTGATACTTTGATTTTGCTTTTTGTTTTTCTATAAAGTTTGGCACAGAAAAATGGACACGACCGTTTCAGGTGCCTTTTGCCCTTTCAGGGTTGGTTTTCTTGATATGAATTACTCGGTTTCCCATTCTAACCTTCTTGAATAACTCACTTCCCGTGCAAGTACAGCTAGAGGAAATAGACTGAGGAGGAGACATCAAAACGGCTACTATAAGAATCCTTAGTTTTAAAGTGTGAAAACATAGGAACTTCCTGTGTTCTATTTACATAGCGAGGCGTGGTAACACAACCACTAATAGTAAGCACCTGGAAGACAAAGGCAGGAACTGGAGTTCAAGGTCATCCCTGGCTACTGAGATTAAGGGGGTAGAGGGTAACTGCACAGAATTGTCATCTAACTTTAAACCTAAGAGATCATTTTACAACTAAGGCTTTTAGTCATTCATTCATTCATTCATATAGTCTTGGAGATCAAATCCAATGCTTTAAAAACAAACAAAAAGACAAGCAGGGCCTTGTGCTTTCTGGGCAGCCTGCTCTACTGCTGACCGCCACTCCAGCCCTAGGTTGGCTTCTTATTCTGCATTTGTGCCCTTCCTGAGTTTTTGTTTCCTAGCACAGTGGCCTCCAAAAGGAATAGACCTCTGTGCATGTCTCCTGTCTTGCAGAAATCTTCAAAGGAATATTTTGACCCTACTTAATGACGAAAAGACCTTCAGTGGAAGCTCAGATCTGGTTAACTAAAGGAAATCTGGAGATAGCTCTTACAGAGACTTGTTGGACTCGGCCTGTAGGATTTTACCTCCCTTCTGAAGCTCTCCAGTAGGCAGCTGCAGTGCACAACAATCAGATTCTCCATCATATCAAGGAACTAGGAGGAACAACATCAAAATGTAGCCAGGTTCCCAGGAGATGAAAGGAAGGGGTAAAGATAGGTCTCTCCAGCCTGTCTCCCTCAGAGCAGGACGCTGTACGGCAGCAGGAGCATGGAGAGAAGGAACTGTTACATAAGCTCAGCGTCCTGTCTTCATCTTTCTGAATCAGCTAATCTCTAAACCCACAGTCCGGTTTATAGAGCTCTTTGTGGTTTCCTGACTCGCTGCAGACTTTCCAGTGGAACAAGTCTTTCACAAGCATGTGAACTTACAGGAGGTTTGCTCAGCGAGACCTCGTGGTCCTCAGACTTCCAACCAGGCTTCAGGATGTTCTGCTGTTGTCCTTCCTCAGAGCAGTAGCCTAGGGGCCTTCAGGAGCAGGTCTGATTGACCTCCACAAAGACTGCATCTCCTTCCTCAGAAGAAGGGATCTGGGTAGAGATGTAGCTGACCAAGTGAGCACTTGCCTAGTAGTGTACAAACAAGGCGCTGAGTTTTATCCCCAATACTACAAAAATACTACAAAAAAAAAAACCCATTTTTTAATTAAAAGATAACAGTCCTCTGCCAGGCGGTGGTGGCACACGCCTTTAATCCCAGCACTCCGGAGGCAGAGGCAGGCGGATCTCTGAGTTCGAGGCCTGCCTGGTCTACAAGAGCTAGTTCCAGGACAGGAACCAAAAAGCTACCAAGAAACCTTGTCTCAAAAATCCAAAAAAAAAAAAAAGATAACAGTCCTCTAATGTCTACACCGCTCACAGTTCTGTGTGGCAGAGCCTCCTGGAGCTGCTAACTCTAATGTCTACACCGCTCACAGTTCTGTGTGGCAGAGCCTCCCGGAGATGCTAGCTCATTTGTTCACCTTTCTCGGATGTTTGCTATTTTTATCTCTTTACTTCAAATTAACTTGGCAGACTTTTCCAGTGTGTTGGGCATCTCCCAATACCTAAAACAAAATAAGTTGGTTTCATGTTTTCTTCTCTTGTAAAACTGACTTTTATAATAGATTCTGCTTGTTGCTGTCACTGAATTCCTAAGTTAACTAAGCAGTTCCCAGTTGGTGAGCAGGCGTGAGGTTCCTTAGGCTTACTACCTAATATTTTGATTTACTTTCTGATAACTCACAAGGATTAATTTATTAATTTATTATTATTTAGAGTATAGCTGGTTTTTTTTAAATAAGATTAACAAGGATAATTTCTCCAGTCCTGATTTTTAAAGCAGTCTGTAGGATATACAAAGATGATCAGTAGTTTCTGGTTTGTTTGTCTGTCCCTTACAGGCACAGTATCCGTCCTCTATTTGATTGTCCTTGTTACCTTGAAGGCTATTCGCTTAGGATTCCATCTGGAATTTCACTGGTTTGTGCCAACAGAATTCTTTGTACCAGGTGAGTCTGTCAAAATAAGAAATAATTGAATAACAATAATGTGTTCTTTAATTCCTATGAAATATTAGTCTAAAACAGGTAATACAAGGTTAATTGATTGCCCTCACCTGCCAATTCCAGCATTTGGGAGGCTGAAACAGAGGACTACCTTGAGTTCTAGGCCAGCCTGGGCCATAGAGTGAGAGACTACCTCAGAAAAACAAGAATGAGTAAATAAAACAAAACAGGATTATATTTGCTATTTCTGGCAACGAGGGATAACCGGGGCTCTATCATTTTTGAATTGACATTTGAAGTCCATTTAATTTATAATGCACTTGAAAAATGAAGAACTTCTTCTCTAGACTTTTCTAAGGAACATTTGCTTAGACTATCAGAGATGTGGAGCATTGTTATGCATGTTGGTAATACTGCTCATTAGAACCTGACTGGGCATGGGATACATGCTTTCTGTACTCAGGAGGCAGAGGCAGGTAGGATTGCTGTGAGTTCCAGGCCAGACCCTGTGTCAGAGAGAGAGAGAGAGAGAGAGGTCATTGTTGCCCTTATGGGCTTTTCTGTAATTTTATTGTTTTTCAGGTTAAGATTATGGTTATTAAATGGGTTTTCGCACCTGTCTCATAGCTCCTCCTGATTATAATGTGGCAATTTAGTTAATTTAGTTTCACCCAAATTTAAAATCTATAGGAATTTTTAAAAAGCACCAATAAGACAATGAATAAATGACTGAATTTCACTAAATAAGAAGATAGATTAAAAAGTGACCGTTACTGTGTTGGCCTCGGAAATCTGGGGAATGCATGTTTCCTGAACACCGTGCTACAGCGTTTGAGCCGCAGAAGGCCTCTGTGGTACTTTAGTCTTCAAAGGGACTTCCGGCAAGAGATGCCCGGAGAAGGCCGAGCGCAGGAGCTCACAGAAGCCTTTGCAGACGTAGGTGCCGTATGGTACCCTGACTCCTGTGAAACTATGAATCCTACTCCATTCCGGAGTCTTCCATAAACACATTGCCTCCTTCTCTGGATACAGCCAGCAGGATGCCCAAGAGTTCTGAAAGCTCCCCATGCAGCGGTTGACCCTTGAAACCAGCCGATGAGGCCGCTGGGCACCACCAATCCCAGTCAGTGGTCCAGTTCCCTCTCCACCTCTCTGGGGAGGGTTCTGCGTGAAGAACCTGAATTAAGTGATAATGACTGAGCCAACTTGAATGTGGAAGTGCTCCCTGGAGCAAGCAGACAGCAAGATTGCGGCCTATTTGTGGGATAGTTGAAAAGTTGCCTCAAGTGCCCGGCCTGTGGGTATCACACCTTCAAGGTTTTCTGTGAACTGTCCAAGAAAGGATTTGCTGGGGCAAAATGTCGCTGAGGGAGTTTCAGCGTTTTCACCAAGGAAGAAAAGCTAGAGGCAGGACTAGCTCTGATCAATGCCGCAGAAACACAAGCACTAAAAAGTTGACAGTGCGAAGATCCCCGGGGAGTGACTGTTACAAAAATATCTTGAAACTAATATTGAGAAATAGTGCTCGATTCCATTGTTGGTTTAGAAAGACTGCTTTCCTTCTATTCTTCAGTCATTAAGAAGCCTAAAATTTCAAGTCACCATTGAGTGTCTGGTCTTCCTGATTCTCGTAGTTGGAGCTATTTAGTTCCTATTTCTTTGTTATAACCTTCCTAGATTTTCAAGATGTATTGAGTAGGTAGTCACTGAAAATTGTTGATTATGTTACCATGGCTACTTTTTTCAGAACATTTGACTTTTTTAGCTTTGATTTTCCAAAGCCCTGAGCCTTGAAAGGGCATTTTTCTTTCCAAGATTATGTGGTGGTGCACACCTTGAATCCCAGGGATTCAAGGAGACTAGGGAGACTGAGGCAGCTGGATCTCTTTGAGTTTCAGAACAGCCAGAATAGAAGAGACCCTGTCTCAAAAAAAAGACAAAAAAGAAAGAAAGAAAGAAAGAGAGAGAGAGAGAAAGAAAGAAAGAAAGAAAGAAGAAAAAACAGTATTGAATTTTCCCAATGATTGGCAAAAATAGTCCAGGATATTGTTTTTTAACGTTGTGTCTATTGTGATTTATTAAGCATTAGTGAGGAAAGTTTCTACTAATGCTAATAAACTAAAAATAGATACCTAATGGGGCAAAGGACTCAAATTTGATTTCAGCACCTTCACAGAGTCACCAAGCACCGACCTGTAACTCCAGCTTCAAGGGACCAGTGTTCTGTGGGTGCCTGTACTCACGTGCACACACTGACACACAGGCACAATGGCACATAATTAAACAGAAACAGAAAAGAAGAAATTCTTAAGTAGGTGGGAAATCATTCATTTTCCATTATCCAATTTTATATGGAATGAAGGGGAAATAATGAAGATTAAACAAGGCACATTTTCTATTAGGAGTCTAAAATTACTACATTGTGATTAAAGACTGTGTGAAGAATGAAATGTGTCCTGAGTGTTTTCTGAGAGGCTAATTAAAAACTCAGAGAACATTGGAGAGGATAAGCCTTTACTGTCCTCATGAAAAGTCACACCATCTTACAAATCCGATTGATCTTTATGTGTTCTTGTTTCTTCTACAATTACGTATTACATGTGTTTCCTTACGCACCTACCACAGCATGTGTGTGGAGGAGATCCCAGGACAGCATTTGAAAATCAATTCTCTCCTTCAGCCTGTGGACTACTGGTTGTCTTTGGGTTTTTACTGCTGCAATGAATATCACGACCAAAAAAGCAGGTCGGGGAGGAAAGAGTTTATTCACATACATTTCCACATCACTCTGCATCATCAAAGATGGTCAGGAAAGGAACTCGAGCAGGGCAGGAACCTGGAGGCAGGAGCTGATGCAGAAGCCATGGAGGAATGCTGCTTACTGGCTTGCTTCCCCTGGCTTGCTCAGCTTGCTTTCTTAGAGAACCTAGGACCACCAGTCCAGGGATGGCACCAACCTCCATGTACTGGGGCCTCTCTCATCAATCACTAAGAAAAATGCCTTACAGCTGGATCTTGTGGAGACATTTTCTCAACTGAGCCTCCTTCCTCTCTGATGACTCTAGCTTGTGTCAAGTTGACATAAAACCAGCCGGTGCATTGGGTATGGAACTCAGGCTGTCAGTCTTAGCAAGAGTCTTTCCTCACCTGATGACCATCTCTCTTGCAAAGACTTTTATCCCCTAAGTAATGCCATGCAACCAACTTGCTTTCTGTATTGTCTGTACGGTGACCAATCCTAATTTTATATTTCCAGCTGAGATCCCTCATCATTCTCGTGTCCATCTCACACCTTCTCTTTCTCTACTTCGATGTCTATGGATGTGTTAAGCTCAGATGGGCAAAGACCAAATACTTGTTATATTCATTTCAGTGTCCATCCCTATCCCTAACATGCTTGACTTGCTCTTCTCTGAGCCTCCTTCACCTTAAAAGAGAAGCTGTAGTTTCGGGTGTTCTGGTCAACACTGAATAGTTTTTGACCATTCTCCATCCACACCCAATCCAGCTGCAGAGTGCATCTGTTTTTTAAAACAGTTAAGAATCTAACTTCTTATCATCTCCACTGAAAAGAACTTTGTCAAGCTATTAATCTCTTGCCTGGATTATTATAGTGCCCCCCCAGTTAATTTTGTCTCCCCCAACCTAAGCTATTCTACACCCAGCAGCTAGAGTTATACTTGTAAAACAACCCAAGCTAGTGTGGTGGTGCATGCTTGTGGTGCCGGCCCTTAAGGGATCTGGATTTAAGGCCAGCCTGAACTACATAGTAAGACCTGTCTTAATGCAAAAACAAAACAAAGCTCAAACCAGAACCCACAGAACTCTTTAAAGATTTCCCATTTCATTAAGAATGATGGCTTCTTTATCATAGTCCTTGGATCCATTCTGACCTGACTCATAATCCCCACTGCTTTCCCTCTTGCTCACCAACTCCAAGCACACTGGCCTCCTTGCTGTTGTATGACAATGCTGAGCACACTCCCTTCTTGTCATTCACTGTTCCCTGTGTATGAGGTTCCCTGTTCTCTCGGATGCACAGATAGATGGTCAGTGTGGTTATGCAAGATCTTCTCTGACAACCTACCCACCTCCAGGCTGCTTGAGACTTTTTCTTAAAGCTCTTATCAGTACTAGCCTTATAGCAAGCATCTGTGATGTCTGTTAGTAATTCCTGATTCTACTGTATCTAGGCTGAGCAAGGTATCCATCCAAAGAGAATAGGTTCCAAAAAAGCCAGTGCAAGCAGTAGGAATAAATCCTGGTGCCACTGCCCGTGGCCCCTCAGTCTTTTTCAGCCATGCAACTGTCACCCACATTCAGAGGGACTAGTGTGGACCTATGCTGGTTTCTTCCCTGTCCAGGTGGAGTTGGTGAGCTCCCATTAGCTCAGGTGAACTGTTTCAGTGGGTGAATCCATCATGGTCTTGACCTTTTTGCTCATATTCTCATTCCTGGACTTTGGGAGCTCAGTCCAGTGCTCTGATGCAGGTCTCTACCTCTGTTTCCATCAGTTGCTGGATGAAGGTTCTAAGGTCATACTTCAGATATTTACCAGTCTGACTACAGAGCAAGGCCAGTTCAGGCACCTCTCCTCTATTGCTTAGGGTCTTAACTGGGGTCATCCTTGTGGATTCCTGGGAATTTCTCTAGTGCCAGTTTCTTGCTAGCCCCGTAATGGCTCCCTTAATCAAAATATCTCTTTCTTTGCTCTCATCTCTGTCCTTCCTCCATCTCGACTATCCCATTCTCTCAAGTTCTTCTCCCCCTCCCCTTCTCCCTTTGTCTTCCCCTTCTGCTCTCCCTATCCCCCCATCTCTATGCTCCCAATTTTATCAGGTAGTCTTGTCTATTTCCCCTTTCCAAGTAGATCTATGTATGTTTTTCTTAGGGTTCACCTTGTTAAGTAGCTTCTTTAGGATTATGGACTCAATATCCTTTGCTTTACAGCTAGTATCCACTTATGAGTGAGTACATACCATGTTCATCTTTCTGGGTCTGGG